TTTTTCTTGTTTATAGTATCTCAACTGCTCTGTCTCTAGTTATGTTTTCCTTTTAGTCACTCATATCGTTGGCTGCTGTGTTAATGTTTTGAAAGCACCCCTGATAATGTCATTCCTTTTTTTTAAACTCATCTTTCCAATACTCTGCCTTTTAGCCAAGAGCTTTCTCTAGACACCTTACCTTCACATCCTGTAATGACCTCATTCTCTGAATGACCAAGTCTGCCAGTTCATCTAGGTCACAACTCAAGTGTCATTATTTTGATAGGAAAGTAGGTTATTAATAGTACCTGTCATAAATGGTACCTTACCTCATTTAGCAGAGTTTTTACTCCTTGAAGGCTAGATCTGGTAATTTTGTGTAATTATTAGCTGTTTAAATAGGTTATTTCAGCACTTGTCTGTTGAACATCCCCTAGGTTATTCCAATGCTTGTGTGTAAACATTCCCTTGAAGGAGAGGAGTCATTGTCTTTTTATTTTGCATACCTGTAGCACTTAGCATGGTTGGCACATGATGCCAAGGCATTTGTAAATGCTTGGTGAATTGAATTAGCAAATGACCTTGTAAATTGTGTTCACTAGGAATACAGTTATACTTTGCTGAATAACTGCCCAAGATCACAGCTTCTTTCATTCGTAGGACTGGAGTATAGCTCAAGCTCTGAGCTTTAAGAAGACAAAAAAATACATGTAAGATTTATCCTTTTTTGTTTTGGTTATAGGAAGTAGAACAGCTAAGAATGGAACGCCTGCAGATTGATGAACAGCTACGACAGATTGGTATGGGTTTCAGACCTTCTTCCACCAGAGGGCCTGAAAAAGAGAAAGGATATGCCACTGATGAAAGTACCGTCTCTTCTGTACAAGGTTCTAGGTCTTATAGTGGAAGAGGCAGAGGTCGTCGGGGCCCTAATTACACCTCCGGTTATGGTAAAAAAAAAATTTTTTTGGTACATTTTGCTTATTATTGTTTTTGGGGTTTTCTTTAGGATTTATTTTTATTGCATTTTATTTTATTTATTTATTTATGGCTGCGTTGGGTCTTCATTGCTGTGCGTGGGCTTTTTTCTAGTTGCAGTGAGCAGGGGCTGCTCTTTCTTGCGGTGCGCGGGTTTCTCATTGCGGTGGCTTCTCTTGTTGCGGAGCATGGGCTCTAGGCGTGTGGGCTTCAGTAGTTGTGGCTTGCGGGCTCTAGAGCGCAGCAGGCTCAGTAGTTTTGGTGCGTGGGGTTAGTTGCTCCGTGGCATGTGGGGTCTTCCCGGACCAGGGCTCGTACCCGTGTCCCTGCATTGTCAGGCAGATTCTTAACCACTGTGCCACCAGGGAAGTCCTGCTTATGGCTTTGAGGGCAGGAGGTAGTTCTGAGGTACGTTTTAATAGTGACAGCATGCTTTATATTAATGACAGTAAAAGGTTTATAGTGTTCAAGTAAAAGGTTTGTGTGTAATGAAATGAAACATTTTAAGTTTATAGCTCATGATCATGTTTGTTCTAAATATTTAGAATAAATATATATGCAACTTGTTTTCTCAGGTATTTTCCCTGTACAATTATATACATTTTCTAATAAAAACCTAGTGATGGTGGTGATACTACTAGGATTTATCTTTTGCCTACCCTCTAGGAAAAGTAAAAATGAAAAAATATACTAATCACTGTGCCACAATTACATATAGCAAATCTGTACTGGTTTTTAAAATATACTATATTGGTTCATTTGGCAGTTTTGAATTTTAATATCTCACATCTGGAATTATTTTGTGAAATACAGCATTTCAATAATATGAGAGTTTGTTATAAAGCAGAAACTAACACACCATTGTAAAGCAATTATACCCCAATAAAAATGTTAAAAAAAATAATATGAGAGCTTTAAAAGTTAGAACCTAATTAACATTTTATAAATGAACATTTTTCTAAAATGTGTTTCACTGAGAGGTTGGGGCTTAACCTATGTAGGAAGGGACCAGTGGATGGTGATTGTCAGCAACTCTCTAATCCTAAATTTCTCAGTTTGTCTTCAGCTTTGGAGTTGTTCCATTTTTCTGCATTTGGACTTGGATCTTAGCAGTGACCTGATTTTTTTCTTCCCTTCTCTCTTTCCTTCTCTCTTCTCTTCTCTCTTCTCTACTCCCCTATGCTCATCCTAACTGCTTTGGGAAAAAAATTTCATAAGCCTTTTCCAGAGTAGAAGGCATTTAGGGAAAACAAATACATGAAAGCTTTACAGTGTGCAGATTCCACTTCCACATTTCATGTTTGACCAATGGATCATCTGATGATCCCAGAGTTATATTAGATTTGTACTGTTTTTCATTTGTTGTAGAGTTGGATGGTCATGTTGCCCTTCCCCCTTTTTCATTATTTTAAAGTTAACCCTGTATTGAAGCCTGAAAAGAATTCCAGTTACTGTGTTCAGTATGTGAAGGACTGAGAATTGAGAACTATTAAAATCCTGAAAGCACATTTAATACAAAAGACAATCAGTAGTTAAATAGAAATTAAGTACATATTGAATGATTTTAGAGGTACAAATTACTAGTACAAATAATCAGATTTGGTTTTTTGGTTGATGAATTCATTGAACAATTTTATAAGCCTCTGGGAAGTCCACTTATTGATGAGAGGTCACTCTTTGGCAAAATGCTTTTGTTGACAGAGATAAATTTAAATGAGAATGGTAGAGGAATATCATTTGGATTGAAGAAAGCTATGCAGATTGTTCAGTAGATGGCACTCTTACCTCTGAATCTTTGCCAGCTAGTAACATTGTATTTCTTGAAATAGCTGTTGAACTTAAAAGTGGGCTCCAGAGAAATAAAAATTATTTGAATTTGGTTGTAGATGTTCTGTCTACAAAAGGTTTTTTAGGTGGTGAATATATATATATATATATATATATATAAGCTGTATAAGAATTTAACATCTCTGAAGTTATATGTGTTACAGTGGATGATGTCTTACAAATTTAATTGGCAGCATTTTCTTTAAATGGCACACAAAATATGACAATGTTGGATTTGATAAAATGTGGGGCTTTAGCTGTTAATATTAAGTTCAGCATACGTGTTCATTTAAAAGGATGTGAACAGGGGCTTCCCTGGTTGCGCAGTGGTTAAGAGTCCGTCTGCAGATGCAGTGGACACGGGTTCATGCCCCAGTCCGGGAAGATCCCACATGCTGTGGATCGGCTGAGCCCGTGAGCCATGGCCACTGAGCCTGCGCGTCCAGAGCCTGTGCTCCACAATGGGAGAGGCCACAACAGTGAGAGGCCTGCTTACCGCAAAAAAAAAAAAAAAAAAGCTATAGTTTAAAAGGATGGGAACCATCTTCATAAGGTGATTTTAGAAGTTTTAGGGGAAAATCTGAGTTAAAATTCTGTTAAAAACAGGTCTTTTTATTTGTTGGAGCCATTACAAATTGAATCGGTTTCATGGATCATTTATAAAGCCTCCCCCCACCCTGACTTTTTGGATTCATGAACTTAATATTTTACAGAATTGAGATCAGAATGATTGCAATGATTTTAACAGAGTATTTTTCTGTTGATTATGCAACAAGTCATAATTTCAGAGGCTTTTACAATACTATTATGTTATAGTTCTGTAGGTCAGAAATCTGACATGAGTGTCATTGGGCTAAAATCTAAGTGTTGGCATGTCTGTATTTCCTTTTGGAGGCTCTAGGGAAAAATTTGTTCCTTTGACACTTCCAGCTTATAGAGACAATCTCTGTTCCTTGGCTTATTGACCGCTTCCTCCGTCTTATAAAGCCAGTAATTACAGAGCGTCCTTATGCTGCCATCTCTGGTTCTCTGTAGTTGAGAATGGTTCTCTACTTTTTAAAGATCCATGTGATTAATTTGGCCTTACTTGGATGATCTAGGGTAATCCTCCCACCTCAATATCCTTAACCTTAATTACATCTGCAGAGTTCCTTATGCCATCTCAGAAATGTTTAATATGAAGGAAGTGGAACACTAGCCAGTTCATTAGCTTTTTTTGTTTTTGACCTTAATAGCTGTCTTTATCTACTGAAATCTATTTATGATTTAGACACCCTCTTTGAGTATCTTGAGTATTAGATTTAGGTTAAACCTAAGAAAATTTTTTGCTTATGATACTGAGTTAAATACTACACTGTATTTCTAAAGATAATTCGAAAGGAACTTCTGTTAAAAAATGAGATACTCATCTAACTTCAAATTTTGGTAATGTTTTCAGGCAGGGTATATAGCTTTGTAAATAAATCCCAAAGTTCTGATACATTCCAAGGTGTTTTTTTTTTGATTGTTTTGTTTTTTAGCTACTCATGAAATGATAAACTACCCTTATTCCACCAGACCATGACATCAGTTAACAAAGTTCTTTTTTGTCATTTGGAAAAATAAGTGTTTTAATTCATTCTCTACTATGAGACTCATTTCTTAACAAAGACTCGAATGTCAGTACTAGAAGCTTGCTATATTTTTCTTAAAATGTATGTCTAACTTACCATTCTTATATAATGACTAGCTACATCTATATTTAATGACATATGGAGAAAAAAAGATGGGTAGAAGACTTATCTTTAAAGGAGAAAGGAAGTTGGTAGGCTTGTTTTTATTTTTTATTTTTTATTTTTTTATTTTTTTTATGGTGCCAATTTTAAATACAGTTTTATTTAAGACATTGCATTTTCCACTTACAATACAGTGCTTGTAAAGTGCAATGTTATTTCCTTTCCCTGTGCACACATTCCATGTTCAAGTATCAAGAGTGCCCAGTTTACTACAGCAGCTTAACTTTAAAACTGCCATGGAATTTGCTACAAATTTGGGTCCTTCAATGTTGTGTGGAACAATGCTAAACCTATACTAGGCTGGCTTAATCAACCTCTTCAATGGTGGGCCCAGAGGAGGCACCACCAGATGGAGGAGCTCCACCACCAGGAAAGCCCCCGGGCATTCCTCCTGGCATTCCTCCTGGCATGCCTCCTGCGCTCTGGTACAGCTTGGTGATGATGGGGTTGCAGACTTTTTCCAGCTCCTTCTGCTGATGTTCAAATTCTTCCTTTTCTGCAGTCTGGTTCTTATCAAGCCAGTTGATTATTTCATTACACTTCTCAAGAATCTTCTGTTTGTCCTCATCATTAATCTTGCCTTGAAGTTTCTCATCCTCAACAGTAGCTTTCATGTTGAAAGCATAGGATTCAAGAGAATTCTTCGAAGACACCTTATCCCGCTGCTTCTCATCTTCAGCTTTGTACTTCTCTGCTTCCTGAACCATGCGTTCAATGTCTTCCTTGCTCAAACGGCCTTTGTCGTTAGTGATGGTAATCTTGTTCTCTTTTCCTGTGCTCTTATCCACAGCAGAGACATTGAGGATGCCATTGGCATCAATATCAAAAGTGACTTCAATCTGGGGAACACCACGGGGGGCAGGAGGTATGCCTGTGAGTTCAAACTTGCCAAGCAGGTTGTTATCCTTGGTCATGGCACGTTCACCTTCATAAACCTGAATGAGTACACCGGGCTGGTTGTCCGAGTAGGTTGTGAAGGTCTGTGTCTGCTTGGTGGGAATGGTGGTGTTGCGCTTGATGAGGACAGTCATGACTCCACCAGCAGTTTCAATTCCAAGGGAAAGAGCAGTTAGCTAAAGCCTCCTAACAGGATGCCTGTTAAAACTGTTTAACTAGAATAGGAAGATTACCTGCACCATAAGCAACAGCCTCATCAGGGTTGATGCTCTTATTCAGTTCTTTCCCGTTGAAGAAGTCCTGGAGAAGTTTCTGAATCTTGGGGATGCGGGTTGAACCACCCACCAGGACAATATCATGGATCTGAGACTTGTCTAGCTTGGCATCCCGAAGGGCTTTCTCCACAGGGTCCAGTGTGCCACGGAACAGGTCAGCATTCAGTTCTTCAAATCGGGCACGGGTAATTGAGGTATAGAAGTCGATTCCTTCATAGAGGGAATCAATCTCAATACTGGCCTGGGTGCTGGAAGAGAGTGTGCGCTTAGCACACTCACAAGCAGTACGAAGGCGACGGACAGCCCTCTTGTTCTCACTGATGTCCTTCTTGTGCTTGCGCTTGAATTCTGCAATAAAATGGTTGACCATCCGGTTGTCAAAGTCTTCTCCACCTAAGTGGGTATCTCCAGCTGTGGATTTGACCTCAAAGATTCCATCCTCAATAGTGAGGATTGACACATCAAAAGTGCCACCACCTAAATCAAAGATCAGCACATTTCTTTCTGCTCCAACCTTTTTGTCTAAGCCATAGGCAATAGCAGCAGCAGTTGGCTCATTGATAATTCTAAGTACATTGAGCCCAGCAATAGTTCCAGCATCTTTGGTAGCCTGACGCTGAGAATCATTAAAGTAAGCGGGTACTGTGACAACAGCATTGGTAACAGTCTTCCCAAGGTAGGCTTCTGCTATTTCCTTCATCTTTGTCAAAACCATGGATGACACCTCCTCTGGATAAAAACTTTTTGTCTCTCCCTTGTATTCTACTTGAACCTTAGGCCTGCCTGCATCATTCATCACCATGAAGGGCCAATGCTTCATATCAGACTGGACAACAGCATCATCAAATCTTCGTCCAATGAGGCGTTTGGCATCAAAAACCGTGTTGGTGGGATTCATTGCAACTTGGTTCTTCGCAGCATCACCGATCAATCGTTCGGTATCAGTAAAGGCCACATAGCTTGGGGTAGTTCGGTTCCCCTGATCATTGGCAATTATTTCCACCTTTCCGTGCTGGAAGACACCCACACAAGAATAGGTGGTGCCAAGATCAATGCCAACTGCAGGTCCCTTAGACATGGTTGCTGGAGCGCAGGCCCGGGTCCACCGGAGTAGAAAACAGCAACCTACACAGCTGCCGCCGCGTTCAACGCGGTAGGCTTGTTCAATGCCAACCAGGTCCCTTAGACATGGTTGCTGGAGCGCAGGCCCGGGTCCACCGGAGTAGAAAACAGCAACCTACACAGCTGCCGCCGCGTTCAACGCGGTAGGCTTGTTTTTAAACTTTACGTTTTAATCCCTGTACTTTAGTACGTAGCATTTTGTGTATCTGAAGAGCTCTTGTGTTTTGCTTTTATCATTAAATGACTGTGGAGTTAATATAGTGTATTTTTAGCTTATCTTTCTTATTTGGGAATACAGCAGAGGAACTTCAAAATCATGCAGCAAATTTACATCGCAAGAGAAAATTCATATGCATGTTGCTAGGCTTCTGGGGGCATTTAGAGGTATAAGACAGAGCTCTCCCCTTTATTATATTGTAGACCAAGTGGGAAGTAAATCCACACTGGAGAAAATAGCAAACAACACATGACAGTACTTCATGATAGATACACATTAATTTTAAGGAAATAAGGGGAGAGGTCTGTTTTTAGTTAAATTGGTTGGAAGCTACAGACATTGAACTGGGCCCTTAAGGAGATAGATTTGCATGTGTAGGTTTCCCACACTATCAGAAAGTAGAGTTTTCCTGTGAAACCTTTTGTAAGCTGAAATGGCATAAAGTGAAGAAGCAATTACCTTAGGACACATTACCTTAGGACACATCTTGCTAATAGATGCACAAAGTAACGTGAGATAAAGCACAGATGCTTACCGACACAGTTCAAAACTGTTGGCTTGATGCTGAGTTTAGCTTCTGAGGAAGGAGCTGGGGTGTGCTGCTGTCACTGTTTGGGGTGCTTGCTGCCTCTATAATGGCTTGCTGCAAAGCAAATGCTGAAGGCTGTTTTCTCTTCGTGCCTTTTTTCCTAAAGCAGAAATCCTCTTTGATTTCTTTTGGTTAGCGAAAACAGGTGTTTGTGGAGGTCTTTTGTAAAAGCAAAACGGTGTAAAATGGGCTTCCCTGGTGGCGCAGTGGTTAAGAAACCGCCTGCCAATGCGGGGGACATGGGTTTGAGCCCTGGTCTGGAGACATCACACATGCCGCGGAGCAAAGAAGCCCGTGCCCCACAACTACTGAGCCTGCGCTCTAGAGCTCGCGTGCCAGAACTGCTGAAGCCCGCGTGCCTAGAGCCCGTGCTCCACAACAGGAGAAGCCACTGTAATAAGAAGTCCACGCACTGCAATGAAGAGTAGCCCCCGCTCGCTGCAACCAGAGAAAGCCCGCGCACAGCAACAAAGACCCAATGCAGCCAGGGGAAAAAAAAAGTTGTAAAATGAACTTATGAAAAGCATAGGATACCTCTATGCTAAGAGGAAAGGATGAAAAAATGCCATCCCAGAACTAACAAAGAATAGAAGTGGGAATGAGTATGATAGTGATTGGGTCATATAAATATGACACATTAATTGTGTTATAATAATAATGATGTAGGCTTTCATAGAATCTTTGCAGTGTTTACATTTTTAAAAGGTCACTATTGAATTTGGCCATTGGGATGTTAGAAAAAGTCCGTAAACTTTTAAAGTCATGCTGAAGTTTTGTTTCACTGATAATGGCTTCAAACTCCATTGATTGTCAGGTTGAAGCTGTCTTTTCTTAAGAGTAACCTAAAATTTGTTCAGTGATTTCAAACGCTGTATTCTTCAAACTTAAGACATTATTGTGCGAAAAACATAATTTTATGTAGAGCTACTAAAAATACACTCCCAGTTCATGAGACGATCAATTATAAGAAATATTCTTATTTCAGAGATGTTAAATGTGAAAAAAAGGTGCCGCCTAGAATCAGTGAAATAATGGTAGAATACAGTATGCAGATAAAGTACTCATTCTTCTAACTATGATTAAATTTGCTTTTAAATGTTGGATAGTGGTTATTTCTTATTATATTGGGTTGGCCAAACAGTTCGTTTGGTTAGTGAATACATTGTGCAATAAAATTCTTGGTGAAAATGAAAAATGTGTCTTTTATTTTTACTTAAAACCAAATGAACTGTTTGGCCAACCCAATACTAACAATTTGTTAAAAACCTAAAAATGGGCAAAATTTAAAAAATATTTCCCTATATTAAGTGCATTTTCATATTGTATATGTGTAATGTTTTGTATGTTCTCTGCAAAATTCTATTGGCTGTTTCTGCGCATCCAAGCAGTTCAATTTTTAATCTCTCTGACTACGTAAATACTTGATTACTAGTATACAGTATTAACATTCAGTTATTTCTTAGTTAATAAATTTCAAATTCATTAACATTTTTATTTCTCTTTCTTTGGAGCAGCCAATCAGTAGGGTTATTTAAACAATGATTAGCAGGAAATAATGTTGAAAAATTTCACTTTTTTCTTTAATAGAAATATAGTTGGCTTATGTTTTCTTCTTTCCCAAGGTACAAACTCTGAGCTGTCTAACCAATCTGAAACTGAATCTGAGCGTAAAGACGAGCTAAGTGATTGGTCATTGGCGGGAGAAGATGACCGAGAGAGCCGGCATCAGCGTGACAGCAGGAGACGCCCAGGAGGAAGAGGCAGAAGTGTTTCAGGGGGTCGAGGTCGTGGTGGACCACGTGGTGGCAAATCTTCCATCAGTTCTGGTAGTCTTTTATATACTATGTCAGAATCCTTTCTTGGTAAACAGTATAATTTCATATACGTTAATTCATTTACCAGGGCCACTCATTTTTGGAAGTTTCTCTTTTAACTGTCTGAGGAAAATAGTAGAATATATATATATATACACACATACACATAGCAGCATAAGGAAAAGCACTATAGAGTGTTTCTCAGTGAAAGTTTAGCTAGAATATTCAGAATGTTCTTGCTTAGTATAATGGGCTGGGGGGAGAATTGAGAATTGTCAGGGATCCATGGACTAGATCCATAGCATATTATTGTATGGCAACTTTTAATAAAACCACTCTTAATAAATTTTAAAAAAAAGGCTGGATCAAATCACACTTTTTATGGGACTTTAAAGTACTCTCTAGTTCTAGTGATATTCTTCAAGTCCTAAGTTCAGTTTACAGACTTCCAGGGAAATAGTTTTTTATATTTTAGTATATTGTTCACTATTACCAAGGTTTATAAAATTATAGTATGCTGAATTACAAAGTAAATGTACTTTACCTAGTGTTTATGATTAATGGATAAACTTAGTGTCTTTTGCAAAGATGCTAGCTTGCTAGCTGTTACCAAAGGAAACTTAGAAAGGAAAAATCGTGATTAGGTGAATTTCTTCTATAATTTGATTGGTGGAAGCAATAAATGCACATAGGTAAGATGGGTATTTTTTTTTTCTTATAAATTATATCTTAAAACCTTTCCTTTCCCACCCTCACCCCACCTTACTCCACCTTTGCTCTTTCTTTCTGGAGATGGGAGTACTACTCAACATTCATTTCCACATTTTCCTATAACCAGCTAGAGTTTCAAATTTTTTAGTATGTTTTTTTGTGTAGACTTGTTTTGCTTGCTTCAGTTCATAGTAGGAGATTTCTATTATGTCATGGAGTGCAGGTGTTGAGTATTATTTGGAAATAGTTCATTAACATTGGCACAAAGAAGCAGCAACCACATTGAACTCAGTTATGGAGACAAAAAGCTGTTTTGTGGAATTGATTCATTTTAGCTGAATATTGGTTTTCATTTTTATTTCTCTAGCCTCTGGGTAGGATTAGCTAGGAATGTGAATGTAAAAAGTAGCATGTAATAATATACTAGTTCCTAATACATTTTCAAAACAAGTCAAAGAGAAGTGGTAGAAAGCCAAGTTGTCTGCCCATCTTCTGTTTTAATTTTTCATTGCCATTTAAAGGTTTTTATATTTGTTGTTTTTCAGGTAAAATAGTGATACAGAAAACATTTTATCTGAAGACAGAGAGGGTATATTTTTACCTGGGGAAAATTGAAGTTTCTTATCATTAATTGATATAGTTCAATATAGGTCAGAGTATTCCTAATAACTGCAGCTCTCTTAAACAAATATTTCTTGCCTCTGACATGCATATAGTGCTCAAAGATCCAGACAGCAATCCATACAGCTTACTTGATAATACAGAATCAGATCAGACTGCAGACACTGATGCCAGCGAATCTCATCACAGTACTAACCGTCGTAGGCGGTCTCGTAGACGAAGGACTGATGAAGATGCTGTTCTGATGGATGGGATGACTGAATCTGATACAGCTTCAGTTAATGAAAATGGGCTAGGTATGTAAGCACTTAGGGAAAAGATATATATTATTGTATAATATTGTTAATGTATGAAGCTTTTTTTAAAAAAAAAATCCCAAACATATGCAATTCACAAATTGAATTTTTCCTAGTGTTTACTTCAGACGAGGTAGATGGCTTTGTGTCTGTCTTAAATGTCTAGTTCTCAGATTTGTATAACCAAATAATTTGAAACTGGGAAGGTTTATTAAAGTGCCCTTTGTTGCCATTAAAACAATACAGATATTCAAACTGCAAGGCACTTAATACTCTTTACTGTTCTAAACCAAAATTGGGCTTTCAGTTTGCCTCTTTAAATGTTATTATAAATGACACTAATGAAGGTGTGTATACTGAGTAGGCATTGATTTCCAGAGGGCTAAAATGTCATTAACTTTGGTAAAAAAAAAAAAAAGGAAAACTTTATTCCTGAATGATGATAATTAAGTGTTAGAGTTTGTTTAATCAAGAGCTAAAACCCTCTTAATTTCTGGATGATAATTTCCATATTTAATGTAGTAGGAATGTTTTAAACTACAAAAGTATTTTTCCTGTGAGTAATGTGTATTGTTTTATCTTTCCTGTTTAATTAAAAGGTTCTTTTCCCTTCTTTAAATCTTTGAAGGAAGGAAGTTTTTTGTTTTATTATTTTTTTTGCTTTGTTTTTGTCAGAATAGTTCATGGTGAACTTTGCAATTACAGATGATAGTGAAAAAAAACCCCAGCGACGCAATCGTAGCCGCAGGCGTCGTTTCAGGGGTCAGGCAGAAGATAGACAGCCAGGTAACTTGCGTGGACCTGTTGCCAATACCAGGTTACAAGCATGGAAAAAAAAAATGTCATGTGTCTGCTTTCTAAATATATTATACTTACATGTACACCTGTGCATATACATTCAAGATGTGCATTGCATAAATTGTTTACTCAACTAATACGACTACTACTCTAAGAAAATGCATTCTTCCTTCACACCGTAAATGTGTAGTAAACCCGTCTAATTGAACTAATGTTGTGTCTCAATTTTTTTACATGGAAATACTGTTGAGAAGACCATTATTTTGTCCACTTGGCAGATTCTGCATTCTTGAGTTGGGGCCTGCCATCCCAGGAACTATGTTGTAGATTGTGATTGAGGTTGATTGGCAAAACTGGGCAGCTTTTGCATGGTGCCTGCTTGCTATATCTGGGTTCAGCACCTCATTTTTGTGGGGTTTCTCATACCCACAGTTTAAAAAAAAGTATAAATGAAAAAAATACTTGAAAATGTCTTTTTCCTAGTAAGAGGAATGCATGTTATGTTTTTATTGTAGTGTGATGCCTTTTCCCTTACACCTACTAACTATTCAAATTAATAGTACTTACTTAGTTTTAGAGTGTTAATTTAAGTAGATATAATTTTTAGTAACTTCAAAGAAACTTGTTTGCTGTGTCTATACTATCTTGAACATAATTCCATTTCCTTTGTATGGAGAATCACATGTATATTTACAATGAAGAAACTGTGTGCACCAGAAATAAACCCCTTTTAAACTAATCAATTTTGCATTCTTTCCAAAGCAGATTCTTGTGTTTTCCCCAAATAAAGAATGTAAATTCCAGTATCTTTATTTAGAATTTTAAGTTTAGTGGTTGTAGAGACATTTGAGAAAACTGGTTAAGGGTATTAGTTTCCATTCTTGGGGAAAAAAAAGTTGATGTTTTAAAGATAGTTGTAAATTTAAAAGGAATTAAATATTGTCAAAATAGGTTCCAGGAAATGTTACTGTTTTCTCTTCTTTTCTCTCTCTTTAGTGTTAGAAATATCTTTTAGATGAAGAGATTGCATTTATTTTTATTTATTTATTTTTTTTGCGGTACGCCGGCCTCTCACTGTTGTGGCCTCTCCCGTTGCGGAGCACAGGCTCCGGACGCGCAGGCTCAGCGGCCATGGCTCACAGGCCCCGCCGCTCCGCGGCATGTGGGATCTTCCTGGACCGGGACACGAACCCGTGTCCCCTGCATCGGCAGGCAGACTCTCAACCACTGCGCCACCAGGGAAGCCCTTATTTTGTTATTTGAAGCTATTAGTAGGTTGGGCTTGAGATAGAATAAATTACAACCTAATTTATTAACTAGGTGGATGGTGGTTCATTACTAAGTCAAAGGACATAAAGGGAATAACGTAAAAGTCTTTGATAAAGAAGAGGAAGAGATTTCTGCATGGTATTAATCGAAACTTGAGTAATTTAGAGTTTTAAATAATTAAGCAATGATTTGTGTTCTTTACTGCATTTATCCCTATTTTACTCTGTTCTTTGGAAGTACTAATTTCCTCTTTAGAACTCATTGCCTTTCTTAGTGTGTCCCCTCCCCCCCAAACACACACACACACACGCGCGCGCGCGCGCGATAGGATAGGTGGAAAAGGCACATCATTTTCTCCTTTGCCTCTGGAAGGAGTTCTGTGAAGGCAGCTTCTATCCAAAGTTCATGTCAACATTCTCTGAAATAAGCAAATATTTGCTCAGAATTTCTTGTTGCCTTTAGTATAAATTAAGCAGTGACTATTCTTTACTAAGAAAAGAATGACAGTATACTGGTGTCCAGTGGATTAACTTTGGAGCCCTTAAATTCTAGAGTCCAAATTATGCTGCACAAATTGCCTCAATTTTTTCCTAGATATTGTAAATACTTATTAATCTGTTTTGAACTTTTAAGTGGCTTGTATTATAAAGACTGGCTATAAACAGGTTTTTCTTTGAATTAACTGAGGTTATTTTTTAGTTTTACCTCCCTTTGGTAGGGGAGGGGCACTGATGAATTTTTACCTTTCCAAGTGCCTATTAATTAATTGGTAAACTGTATCAGAGTATACTATTCTCTGTACATAGTGGATGAAGAGTTCTAAGAATTGTCACGTGTTCAAATTTAGCAGTATGTGTGTCTATGCATCAGGGTTTCCAGGTAGCTGAGTTCTTCCAGGTGTCACTGAGGGCTCAACCATGGAAACAGAATGAATTCATTAAGGTGCTCTCCAAACTCGAATAGGATGCTTTTGCTTCTGTGTAGGTAGATATAATGATGAAGTGGATTTGATAGGATCCCTCTTCCCAATTTTGGAAACTATTATTAAATGTATTTATAAATTCATTTACAGTGAATTTAAATGACCATTTATAAAGCTCCAAAATGAGTACATTGAGTTTCTTATAATTTGGAGGAAAAGAGACAGTTTTAGACATGAAACATCTTTATTTAGCGGTGTTTCTAAAGCTGTGTATTAGTTCTAAATTAAGTTGTTTCCTTGAGATTTAAAAAGATTCATTTTAATAGTTCTAGAAAGTTCTTGGATCTTATAAAGAAAGGTGTTAGTATGTTAATTCATGATTAAGAAAAATGAATTGTAAATACAATCCAGCTTTTTATTATATTAAAATGATTTATTTTCATATAATTTGAACCTGATGGACTAGTTCTTCCTGTACATAGTGACTTTAAATTTTAAATTTACCCGAGTTTTGATTCGTTTGTAATTTACCTGCTCCCATAATTTAAAGTACACCTTATTCCACATAATCAGGGATTTTTCTTCACCAGGTTCTGAGGGAAAGTAAATACTTTGAAAGGAAGAGGGTGATTATTTTGATATTTCTTCAAATCAGTGAATTCTAAGTTGCAGGTTCTTGAAGAGAAAGTTGTGCAGTATAAAGTGAGGCCAGTCCAGTGTACTAGCAGACCAGAGGTAGTTCGTTGCAGTTGGGTTGGCAGTAGGGTGTTTGTGTGGGTTAGTCTTTTCGCCTTTGCATTAGTCTTTTCTCTGTATCCCTACTGCCATTGCAAACACAAACACCTTTTCAGTCAGTCCCTTGAAAGATTGGCAAGATGGGGAAAGGGAGTGGTTACTGAATTAATGGTGGACCTTTTCCCACCATGATCAATGGCCACATTTTTAGGTTGGTGTTCTGTCATCTTTAGTTTGCTTGCAGTTTTTTTAGATTACTCAGAATGGTTTCTAGTGTGAAATGTGAAAAAGGAACCATAAAATACACTTGGATATCTTACTGTGCTTTTAAAGAAAATGTTAAAAAAAAAAAAAAAGAACAACTAATTTCTGAGTAAATCTTTTACATCTTTGATGAAAATTTCAAATTGAAGCATGCTACACCACGATTTGACCCAGTTTGCCCCATTTTTTCCCCCACTGATAAGTGCAAACACTAGGCTTACAATGCTGCATTCTCTATTCTTGGTTGTGGATTTCTATGTCAGACTTAACCCCACAACTGTAGACTAACCAGAAGCAAATGGCTGGACTCTTGTTGAAGAGGGCTTCCTCACCTCTCCAGCTTGAAATCTTGTGTAGTCAGCACTAAACCACAGGCACATTTTTCAGGGTTAGTTTTTGGTTGGAGGTGGTACCCAGCTTAAGAAAATTTTGAAATTGGGTAACCCACCATTAATTTATTTTAAAAGTAAAATTACTCTTTATCCATAAATAAACTTTAGAAGTACTTTTTCAACACCTGTAATTTTTTTCTCATCTTCAACAGTCACAGTTGCAGATTATATTTCTAGAGCTGAGTCTCAGAGCAGACAAAGAAACCTCCCAAGGGAAACTTTGGCTAAAAACAAGAAAGAAATGGTAAGGAGAATTTAACCTGTAGGTTTTGGTGTTTTTGTTTTTGGTATGGTTTAGTTTTATTTTCACTTCTTAACTTGTATGATCACTTGTTTCCCCAATTAGACCAGTAATATTTTAGTTAAAGACTACTCTTGATTTTGTTTTTGGCCCCAGGTAACTGAAGATATGCATGCTTGAGCCTGAAATACTTTTCATTTAGAACTCTAAATAGCATTCGTAAAATTCAGTCTGCCCAAAGATACTGGGCATAGAGACTGTTGCCTTAATTTGGGGAGCAATAGGCTGAATATACCTCTTCTCAGTGGTGGATAAAGGCCTTTAAGTTTCAATTCTTTTAAATATTTTAAGGGATTTGATATGTAAATGTGAGTTCCAAAAAAGAGGTGAGTAAGTAGGTGGTTATTTGCGTTACTTAGGGTATTAATGTTTATATCTTTTATATGGTGAGTTTTCCAGTGGTTAAAATGAAATTAGGTGCAAGTTTTCAGTAAACAGGTACATATTCTTCCTGTGGTTTATGCACCGCTAAATACTAGAGATAAAGAGTTGAAAAGCCCAGAGAGGTGGAGTACATTGGTATTTGTTTTGAATTTTAAGAATGTTTTTTAAATTCTTTGATCCATTGTGGTATGTGAAAACTAAAATTATTAGCAAATTAATGTTTATGTAGCTATTGTCCTCCTCAGCTATAGATTTCATTTATAAAGAAGTTGAAAAAGTTGTCTCCCTTTGGCAGGCAAAAGATGTGATTGAAGAGCATGGTCCTTCAGAAAAGGCAGTAAATGGCCCAACTAGTGCTTCTGGCGATGAAATTTCTAAGCTACAGCGTACTCCAGGAGAAGAAAAGATTAATACCTTAAAAGAAGAAAATACTCAAGAAGCAGCAGTCCTGAATGGTGTTTCATAAACTGAAGAAGTTCCTAGTTTACAGTTCTTTTACATTACATTTTACAATAGTGCTTGTACAAGCTTGCCAAAGATAGAATATGGATCGCCAGTCTTTACATCGCACTTTCAGTTCCTCCATTTGGAATTCAGAAAGGGGAGGGATCCTGAAGAAATCATATGTTAAACATACTTTGACACCTACTGTGTTATAAAATATATCATCAGATGTGCCTTGAGAATAGTATATGTAACATTAAAAAAAGTTGCTGGCTATAGGAAATGTTATTTTGTTTTCAAAATATGGCAGAGATGGGGGGGGGTGGGTGGGGGGTGGGATCCCTAAGGGAATATTCTTTATGAAAGCATTAGCTGCTTTTGTTACATTTTTAATAATATGCAACCACTTCTTCACCTGAGGAAAACTAGAGTGAAATGCAGTCTAAGATATTTTGCACTGAATTGTAATTTCTTCATTAGTTTAGTCTGGAAACTGGTCTGTTTTAATGTGTTTTTTAAATGCTGTATGTAGAGGAAAATCTGCAGGCCACTGGAATACATTTGTTAAATTCTCATCTGCAGGGACACTGGGTGATATTGGCAGTGACTGTTCTACATTAAGGCTTTGTTTGGTTTATTTATTAAAGTGTACAGTATTTAAAAAATCAAACATAGCTTTAGTTAAAACACTAAGCTGAATTAGTCATGTCCATTCAGACATAACCTGAACTACTGAAAAGATCAATTTCCAGAAGGTTTATTCTGTATAAACTACATGTTAGTCTTCAGTAGAGTATCTTCCTTTTCTTTTTTCCCCCTTTTTTCTTTTTTTTCCCCTTTTTCCTTTTTTTTTTTTTTTGATTTTGGTTGTTTGATGTGCAATATGTTTTTGTATGCAGGTAGTAAATAAACTTTGATCTTCCATTTGCTGATTTTTAACTTTCTACTTTTTATACCAACTGTTGAAAAGTAGTTGGACCTACTTAAAGGCCTAGAGTAGTATTCTGATTGCTTTTTAAGATGCATTTATACTTGCTCATAAGTAGTAGTAAAATATTAGGTGGTCAATTTATCATTTTGTAATGAATCCTCTGAAATCTTAGTACTTAAAATTTAGTGTTAGAATAGAATGGTTTAAGGAATTGATCAGAGATTTGATATTAGGAAAGTCTTTGTAACAAAATTCTAATCATAGGCAACTTTTGGAAGGCATTGGGGTAAAATCCAGAATTTTACTTTTGCCTTTGATTCTTCATTAAAGTTATTTTTATAAAGAAGTATAATGAGCAGTTTTTAAATAAGGAATGTCACGAATTTGATTTTTGGTTCTCAAGGAAATAATTTTAAAGGTTCTTATACTAATGAATGGATTTTTTGTAAATATTTTAGCCAGATGTCTTAATTTTAGGAAGATACAGACTTAAACGAAGTGTGTTGCAAGGTGATATCAAGTAATTGTGGGTTTATGGGAGTTGCTCTACAATATTATATAGACTACTGAGCAAGAAGAAAGACAGCTCTTTCACTTGGCATCTGAAAAGTATTTTTATGTGCATAATTTATGTTAATTTGTTATGTGCATAAAAAAGCTAAGTGATTTTAATTTATGGCTGAAGCACAATTCAGGTTATAGTTAAAAATATTTGCCGGGTCATCAGTGTATGTAATACCCTAGCCCTGAAATTTATTACTCTTGAGGTGAAAGATGTGATGGTATTACATGCTTTTTCCTAAAACCCTGATAACTGAAAATTTTAAGGTGAAGTGTGAATAGTGCAGTTCTTGAACATTGAATAAATAATATCAAGTAATTTCATATCCTAATAAAATTACCCACAAATGTCTTTAATCCACCAAAGTCAGAAACATGTAAAATTGTTGGCCTTTTTATTCTTCTTTTCAGTAGTAGAGTTATAAATTAACTATAAGGTATGAGAAGAATTTTCATTAATCCCCAAATCGGTAAATATGGTATAAAGAAAATACGATTTTTCATTTTCTTCCAGGTAGAATATTCACTAAAATCCTCCTGTAAAGACTGTTTCAATGGGAACGGAAGAAACACAAAATCATCTTAAGTGGGTTTAGCCCAGGGAGTTTTTTTAGAACTAATAACCAGATTCTAGGAAATAAGTATTAAGATTTCATTATTTACAAATGACTAATCCCAATGTCCTTTAGAAATATGTACTGCAGAATCATGATAGGCCTTTTATCTTTTTTTTTTTTAATAGCACATGCTCAGATTCAGAACTGAAAAGTCCACTCCCCAAAGGTAACTATTCTTGATAGAGGTAGCCTTCCAAACTTAGTTTGAGAGGGTGCATCTCTTTTGGCTACTAGTTACATGGAATGTTGCTATGGGAAAACTTGCCAGCCCCCCAGCCCCACCCCGCCAAAAGGTTTTGTGCAGCTTAAATAGTGTTTCAGCATACATATATGAAGTCGTGTATGATATCTGAACTAAATCATGAATTAAGAGCTGAGATTACATGGGGGTAAAAATGGTCTTTTCCTGAAGCCTTGGGAAGCCTAGGATTCTTGGGTTTGGCATCACTCTTTTAAGCCTTCCACGGGCCTAAAACTTTCACAAAATGGTATGGGTTTCTGTTGACAGGTCAGTCACCACTGTTAAAATTATAATAGGGATACATAAAAGTATTAATTTTAAGTAATTATTTTAATGTGGAGGTAACAGCATATCAAACCAGTGAGTTCATGAAAACAGACGTTGCTTAGGACAAGGCTGAGGGAGGTAGTAGCTTAAGTAAATATTAAAAAGCAAGTCCAGGTATATACAGACAAGCAAAATAACCAAAGAACAGGAAAACACTAAGCTGGTGTTTTACTATTTGTCCTGGATCTCCATTCATGTCAGCCGTTCTTTTGTGGCTGGAATCCATCACCTTTGGAAGTATTTTTGTAGCTACTGTTTGCTATGAGTCTAGTGTTTAACCTCAGAAGGGTCTCTGCAAAGTTGGTATGTTAACTGAATATTGCTGGTAGATTAGGAAATAGTACCTACCATTTGTGTCCTCTGCAAACATTGACTTTTTTCAGATTGAAACCAACTAGTTAATACTCTTACAGGCTGTGCCTACAATGAGCTTATGCCGTAAGCAGGTGATTGGCGGTTACTGGAAATGAATAAAGGAAAATTACTTCTATATTGAGATTTTCTAAGGCTTCAAGGAACTTGAATTTGAATTGGATCTATGGATTTGGCAAAATTCCAAAAGGCAACAAGTAGGATGTTCATTGTAAAGTCTCAGTCTCCCTATCTTTGCTATTTACAATTTGGATCCCCTGTACCCTTTATAAGGATATCTGATGGTGAATTTGCCGGTCCCTTATTTTAAAATTTTTTTTTTTACTAGGATGCTTGAATGGATAATATTCACTTATAACCCATGATTAACCTATGACAGCATTTGGGTTTTATTTCAGGGAACTTTTGCAATAAAGCAATGATTGCAATCTGCTATAGTAAAACTTTTGGCAAGTGGTGGTAATTTGAAACTGCACTCAACTGCTGGTTGAAAACGTCAGTTATGTTGAACCATAGGAAATTGCTGGGAGCTGACCAGTTTTGACCCACAGAAGAGACAACCTAATAATACGTTTTAAGGTACAATCATTTACTCCAGAAATCCAAGCAAGGGTCTGATCATCCAGAAAAGCCCTAATTATTGGATGAGGGAGGTGTATACTCTAAAATACTTTGTTTTTTAAAATGGTTTATCAGTGGGTCACTTTAGATTCAGATTCATCTGTATCTTCTATATTACTGTTTCAGGGTACTGAAGCACAGAATTGGGAGTTACTGTCTTAGTTGTACAAACTTTTTCTATATTCCGTTTCATCCAACTAGAGAGGCCTAGGCTAGGTGATCCCATAAAGGCCTTTCCAGTGTAATATAACTTGAGTGTAATCATGTTAGACCCTGTGTGATACTTAACCATAGTCCTATGTACTCTTAAGGAGTATGCTGAATTAAAATGGTGTTTGTTTTCTATTTGTATCTGTCCCAGACATTTCCAGCTATATTGTATGCAATCTAAAGATAAAAGAAGGGCAGAATTATTTTTCACTAACATTCTCAATTTCAAAGCCCCACTATTAAGTATACTAGTTAGCAGTTTCTCAAATTAGGGTGAAACCACAGGGATATTTTCTGAATGTTTCGTACCCTTTTTGATGGATTGTCAAATGTAGCTACTCATTTTCTAGGTTAGAGACTGTTTTCATTACAGAAATTTTCCCATAGTTTTTCTAGATGAACTAATCTATGCTTAATTGTTCCCTGGAGCTCATACCTCAACCTCTGTGAACTTCATTTTTCACCTTGCTGTTTTCAGGTTGTAAAGAAAAATGTCATGTAAATACTTCACTTGAAATTCCATTAACTGAAACAGCACTAAGGTCACAGCAAGTGTTAACTTGTTCCAGATTATACCCTAACACTGGACTACGACCTTGTCATTGGGTCAGGAATAACAGGTTAACACTGGATAGCTCTTTCTATATCCTGTTGCTAAAGCAACAGTTGGCTCTAAGCAGATACACAACACTGAACAGCAGTGCCAGCAACAAAAAGCAGAGCTTAAGTCATTTAAGTTTCCTGGTACTGAAGGTTACTCTCAGTCCAGGGTTCTTTAACCAAAAACCTATTCTAGCATTCTAAGTAAGTGCTTTTTACTTTACCTCAGATTTATAGATTTCTTTCTTCCATATTCTGGCCTTTTAAGTTTTGGAGCCAGCTTCTAAATTTTCATTGTAATTAATGTTTGGGGGATCATTTATGCTGAACAAAATAATGACCCCATCACACACTTTGAAATGCAAAACAACTTTTATAGGTTGTTAACAACAGAAAGGTGCCTTATAAATTCTCATTGAAACAGTAGAACTCAGCATTTTAGCTTGAAGTGTTTAAACTTAAGCTCGGTTAACTCTTAAATAAAGCATTCTGCCTGGATTAATTTAAGTTACTTCTGATACAAGGTTTTCTTTAAGGTAGAAAATAAATTTTCAGTGTGCCGAATACTACACAGCTTTTTAGTGTGGCATAGTCCAACATGTTTAGGATTTTACCCTGTGTTAAGATACTAGTTATCCAGTTTCTTCCACTTCTCATTTTACATCTAGCTGCCTTTTACCCTTCTTCTGTTTGTTGTGATTTAGAGCACAGGAAATTAAGGATAGCAAACGATATAACCAAGCTTCTAGAATCAGAAAATGGGCTTGTGTTCCATCTATTTCCATACATATTCTCAATTATTTCTTGAATGGTTTGGGTCTGTATGACT